CTGTATGTAGATGTAATTCTCTCTCTCAACAGTATTGAAGAAGCAGAAAATTTATCCTCTGATATACGAGCAAAAGCTATGTGTTATACAGAAGTTTTTTCTGAAATATGAAACAATAATGACAGCATTCATATACTATTGGATTTTTAATCTAACAACTCCTTTATCGAAGTACCTGCAAGCTATTGGGATAGATAACAGCCAAGGGAACGGGCTTGGATAAATCAGCGTGGAAAGCTGGTTAAAATGTGAAAACAAGTGTGACGGATTTCATTGACCGGGCAAAAGATGGACTTGAAAAACGAAGCCCACTAAAAAGTATTGTCATTTAAGAGTTGTTTCCGAAAAAAAAACCATGGAAGAGCAGCAGGCAACCTGGAGAGGGTTCAAGTGAAGAAACGACATTTGATGTTTTATAAAGAATTTGAGGTTCGTGTGCATAATAGAATATTAGACACTACTATTGAAAGCTTAAAGTCAAGATTTGAGCAGAATGAAACTTAAAATAGGGACCTGGCTTGTTTGTCTCTTGCACAGTTTGGAGAGATAAAGACATTCTTGCCTCATACTGCATTTCAAAAGCTAAGTGAAGTACTTTTAAAAATTGATGAGGAATTAACTTGTGAGCAATTTCAAACTGAACTTATAAGTTTGGCAAATAATTGGGATAGGCTGAAACATACACTACTTGAAGAGTACACCTTGTATATGAATTGTCAAGAAACTGCTAGTAAGACAGAGCTTATAGTGAAGGAAAATGGCGAATTAGAATATGATGACCAGATTTCTATGTGTAAACGATGCCGCAACAGTGCAGTTGTGCCTATTCAGCGAGGCATACAAAAACATACATCTAGCTTATAAATACTTACTAACACCCTCTACCACTCGGGTGGCCTGTGAAAAAAGTTTTTCAAGTCTGAAATTCATCAAAAATAAGTTAAGGTGTACTTTGAATCCTGATCGTTTGGAGGCATTTATTATGATGTCATTGGAAAAAAAGACGTTCTCCAGGGTATAGACCATAATGCTATCATTGATAGTGTGTCGACAAAAAGTTCGTTACTAGAGAAAGAATTGTATTATCAGTAATTTTATTCTCCTATGTGATTTGTATTATTCCAGTAACGCATAATACTGGTTTGTTTGTTAATTTTCCCTAAGTATATATATATTTTTCCCTGTTATTGAATATATGATTAAACAATTTAAATTTGCAACTTACTAACCTATCATCACTACTTTCAGTGGGGACAGTGTTATTTGGTTGTTATTTGTATATGTATGCAAGTAAATTTAATAAAGTCATAATTATAATTTTCAACTTTGTTTTGTGTATTCATAATTATTAAATGTCTATTTCTATATATATATAATTATACTTGAGTATTTGTGACTTTGTGTACTTTGTCATAAAAACGATAAATTTGTAACGCGGTCAAATGGGCCAATTTTAAGTATTTTCCCGGGCCATTTTGGGTTCCCAATCTGCCCCTGGTGCTCTCTCTGAATTACCCTGGATCGTTGTAGTCATCCACTTGAATGGCATAATTGCATATTGGAAGACTATTGATAACTATTATGATGGGCTAAGGAAAATTCTGGTTTGGTTGAGGAACGATAACCTTAAACTGAATCCCAAGAAGCGTGAATTTTTTCATCAACAGGTGAGTTCCTAGGATTACATAGTCAGCAGAGGGGCGGTGTCTACAGACCCATCAAAGATTGACTTTGTCCAGAATTGGCCAACACCAAAAAACCTGTTTGAGGTAAGATTTCTTGGACTGTGCTCTTACTATTATTATTTTCCAAAATCATTGTCCAACATAGTTCATCCTAAACACAAAGTACTTGAAAAACCAAATAAGTTTTGTTGGACTGCTGATTGTGAATAAGTATTTAACAAACTAAAGAAATAATTAACTACTACTTCTGTATTAACATTCCCATACCTTGAAGATCCACTTATTTTAAATACAGAAGTTAGTGGTTTTGCAGGGGAAGCAGTGTTATAATAAGTCCAACATGAAAAAATATGTAATTACCTACTACAGCAAAAGAATGGATGCTGCAAAACCGAGGTATTATACAACTTGGAAAGAGATGCTTAATGTTGTTTAAACCCTAAGTCATTTCCATCATTACCTATATGGACAAACGTTGATACTCAGGAGAAATAATGCAACATTTAAGTTTCTGATAAATTTTCGTAATCCAGTTGGCCAAATAGCAAGGTGGCTCCAAACACCTCTAGGAGTACAATATTAACATTGTATATCACCTTGTATGGGACCTTGGAAATGCTGATGCATTATCTAAAGACAATGTGTTTATGAAGAAAAGAGGGAAGCTGATAGTAAAAACGACCAACCTAAAGTACAAGATGTGATATCCATAAGTGATAATGAACAACTTATAATGTCCACAACTCAACTGAAAATTCTCAAGCAAAAGACAAGAGTTTAAAACCAATTATTCAGTGGATCGAGAATAGTGCAGAGAAACCTTCATGGCAGAAGTTGCTCCATATGGCGTGAATACAAAGATGTATTGAGCATAGTGAGATTCATTATGCTTACAAGAGAGCTTGCTATATCATAAATAGGAAGACACCAGTGAACAGAGACAGTGATTACAGTTTGTACTTCCACAGTCTCTATTTTCTGTAGTGCTCAATCATCTCCACAACTTTCCAACAACTGGACACTTATGTGTTAAGAAGATACTACAGAGACTAAGAGATTGCTTCTGTTGGGTTGGCTGCTGAGGGCTATAGAGAACTGACGTAAATACTGTGAGTATAAAAGTCCACGAAAGAAATAGTATTAGCAAGTACAGAGGTACTGTGTTGTAGCACCACTGAAGAGAGTTGCTGTGGATGTGCTTGGTCCACTGTCACAGTGGGAATAATTACATCATGGTTGTGATGGAGTATTTCACCAAATGGTCAGAATGATGTTTGATGTTCTTAACCAGAAAGCAGAAACTCTAGCAAGGTAACTCGTCAATGAATTTGCTTCAAGATTTGGAGTTCCTATGGAAATACATTCAAATAAGGGACAGAACTTTGAGACAGCCATATTTTTGGAAATGTGTAAGATTCTTGCAATAAAAAAAAGACCAGTACAGCAGCTCTTCATCCACCTTCTAATCACTTGGTGGAGAGATAAAACTGTACTCTGTTAAGTCAACTAGCCATGTACGTGGAAGAACATCAGAAAATGTAGGATTAAGACCTTACATTTGTATACCATGGACCTCGGAAGAGAAAACCACCAAAAAGACTTGGTGAATGAGCAGATTAGTTTATTATTCTGTTTTTGTTCAAGGATTTGTTTGTTTGTAATTAAGCACAAAGCTACACTATGAGCTATCTGTGCTCTGCCCACTACGGGTATCGAAACCCGGATTCTAGTGTTGTAAGTCCGCAGACATACCGCTGTGCCACTGGAGGGCTTTTGTTCAAGGAAGAGACAACGTTGTAAGCTATGTTTTCATTTGTTATAACTTACACTTTAGCTAGATGCATGATGTTATGATCAAGTGAGTTTATAAAAGCAGTTCTAGAATACCTACAAAGTTCACTTCGACTAATATCTAGACATGGGTTCATCATTATAAATACGAGTAAGCAGTTAATTAGTTGAATTAACTAGTTTAGAGTTAAGTGGAATATTTATTTGAGTAATGAATGAAAATTTAGAGAAGTTAGTGTGCTATCATGTTTATTCAGTGTTTGTGTGTAGTATAGTTAAACAGTCGACTAGCAAAGAAATCCTGTTGAAAGTGGAAACGTTGTTTGTGAACTAAGGTCTATAATCTTGTACGAGGGAAAGTAACCTGTAGCAAAGGTTAAGAAAAAAATATACTAATTTGTTATCGTTACGTGAACTAGGCTTGGCCTTATATTCTACCAAATAATATTTTGATTTTGTTTGGAATTAAGCAGAAAGCTACACCACGGGTATCGAATCCCGGTTTTTAACGTTATAAACCTTCAGACGTACCGCTATGCCACTGGGAGGCATAAAATAATCCATAATGCATGGTATTGGTAATCTTATTCCCACACTAACTTTTATTTTGTTATTACACGTAAATTTTATATTTAGTTACTTTGTTAGATTGAAGAGTCTCACTATCTGTCCAATTACTTAACTCTCTTAGATTGTAAATCAAAGCTTATTTAATTTTCTTAAGCCAAGAGGCAACTTAAATTCAATATCAGTAATTTCTTAAGATTTTACAATGACTTTATCGCACATACTAATTTATCCTTTGTAGATCCATAACTATAGTTGTAACTTATTTTTTAAGATGACAATGTGACTTTATATCCACTGTAGCTAAACATAGATTGCAGGGTAATAAAGTTGTAACTATGTTCATATAATTACTTACTTTATTAGATCGTAAGGTAACTTTGCCTCCACATCGAGCACAGCAGCGAACGTTGCAGTAATTACAGATGTGTCCAATTCCATCTGCAAATTTAGTTTTCAAACACAGCTCACAGGTAGCATCTAATTCGATTCCAAGCTTCAGGTGTTCCTCCTTTCGCTTCTGGATAGCACTTTCTAGTAACTTTACCTCGTCTTGTTTTTTCCTGAACAAAGAAAAAGAAAGTGAGATGAGTTTGTTTAGTTTTATCAGTATGTAAATGTTCAGGTATTATTTGAAGTCTCATAAATGAATGAGTACTATAAACTTAATTGTTTTTCGACTGTAGTTAAAAGTTCATACCATCATTTTTAAAGGTGTTAATGGGGATTTTTTTACATTTGGCTTGCTTGAACCTCACCCAGATCTATGTTTTATTTAAATATACACACATTTCAGCAAATGGCTGTACATGTCTAAGGGGTGATTCTTTTACAATAATTTGTCCCCCTAAATTGTCGGAACACAGAATGTTGCACAGTTTTTAATGATTTGAGTTGCAAAGGTTAAGCTATGCAGTTCATGTTAGGTGCGTCAATAAAGATGTTATAACTAACTATATACCAAATCTGCTGTGATAGTTTATTTTAGAGCAAAGCCACATTGAGATATCTACTGTGTCCACCGCAGGGAATCGAGCTCCAAATTTTAGCTTTGTAAATCTGTAAACATATCGGTTTTCCACCGGGGGACACCGTGATAGTAATTATGTTGTAGAATACAGTAAAATTTCTAAAATATGTTGCATATATTTTTTTCTGCATTTCGTCGGAAATCGCAGATACAAATTTATCTTACTTTCCATTATTGACTTTCAGACAGAAGCAAAACGTCAAAATAATGTAAAAAAAACGAGAAATAAAAGAAAACACGATTTTATGCAGAATAAAAAATAAAATTATTTATAGATATTTTCTGAAGTACTAATTTTTCAATTTGCGCTATAAAATATAAAGATGTTTATTAGAATTTTACATTTCCACTTACTGCGCTCACGACATGTTTTATGTGTTTGGATGATATTGATTGTGTCTTTATAAACTTTTTGTGCATTTAAACGAAGTGATATGTTCACATGATCACACGAAAAGCATTTCAGTTAAATATCACCAGTTTCATATGATAGTACTTTTCTCGAACTAAAAAAAAAATAGGTGACTTTAAATAAAATACAAAGCACTATTTTACAAAACATTTTAAATAAAAAATAATTACTAAAGAATATTAATAAATCGTTCAGTAGCCTTTGCATAAAACCTATTTATATTATATTATACTGAGTTCTATCTTTTCGGTTATTTTTCAAAACACTTCAAAAATTTTGAGTTAATACATCTTCAAATTCTATACAGAAAAATAAAGTTTTGCTCATTATGTCCAATCAGTAGTTTCAAACTTTTTCGTAACATTGTAATTATTATGATAATTAGTATTAGCAGAATATGTACAAATATTCCCAGTATTAATTAGTACATTATTATTATTGTATAATTTTTTTTTTACTGTTTATATAAGTTTTATGCTTCTTGACAATAGCCGATTAACCACGTGGCTATACCATAGAGTGAAGTTCCTTTGTGTAACACTGAGTTTCGAAACATTGAATTTCAAGATCATTGGCTTACACAACGTATAATATAACAAGCATATAGTGATGATGTAGTAGTCAATACATAAAAGAAGAAAATTTTATCAATTATTTGGCTCATTGACTGAGTCATCGTCTTATCTAAGAAGCATCGTTGAGGCCTTAGGATAATTACCGAGGCTATATGGTGAGTTTGGACGTGTAAGCAAAAAGCTTAGATTATATTATATCCATTATGTGCTTTAAAAATATATTTGAAACCTATTCATTAAGGCTTGTTCGTTTTGTTAGAAAAGGTAACAATCAATTTTTATAAATTTTATTTTACAATTTTAAAGGAGGTAATAAAAATATATTTACTTATTAAACCTGTTTTAAATTCTTTGGAAGGACAATAAAAGACGTTTCTCCATAGAGGTTTTTAAAGGCAGAAGAATGTTAAAAACATAATTTACCAAGTTAATTGTAAACTTCCTCAGCGATAAGTCTTAAGGCTTATAACGCTAAAAATTAGGTTTCAATACCTGTGGTGGACAGACTACAGATAGCCTATTGTGTAGTTTTGCGCTTAAAAACAATCAAAAAGGATCTTACTCCTGAAAATACTACTAATTTTTGAGGAGCACACCCTCTTCTCAGTAGTAGAACCTGAATAATGCTAGGCGCGAATAGTTCGAGCGCAAAATTTGTTCGATGTAAAAACGAGTTTTTCTGAGCCAACTCATTTAATTTGATCGTAGTTTTGCTTTTTGGCTTTTGTAAAAATATGACCTCCCTTCTGTGTGATAAAGGTCACGTAAAAATAATGGATACATCGAAATATTATTACAGAATACACACAAATGCAAAGTATCCTTCACATATTGAAATTTATCGAACAGTTCGTTCATAAGTATTCGAATACGAAATTTTCGAATATTCGAGCTCGCGCTGATTCTGAAACTATTATTCACCTAATAACAGATAAATACACAATACCGTGTAAAGTAAACTAAAATAAAATTAAGACACACAATTACGTAACAACAAGTTTCTATACTTTCACGTGTTCTCTTCCATTCAACTTTTGTTTGTGCATATGTTCTTTAATAGCAATAATTGTCCCTCCACAGTTTGAGTCCTATTTTGTCCAATTTCACAGAATTTTAAGAAGAATAACTACACATCTTGTAAAATAAATGAATATATCTTAACAATGTTTTTCCATGAAACGCAACTTCGTTATTATAATTATTATAGAACAAGATGAGAATATGTATGTGGGTTATAATATCTATATCTAGTATATATTTAGCGTGTGTGAGCATTTCAATTGTTTTCATTAATTATCTTCCAATCACGAAAGACCAGGATATAAATTTGACACAAGTTATCATGAAAAAAGAATTCACGTTTAAAATAATTTGTAGGTTAGTTTTACTTTAAACTAAAATTGTTTTATTTAAGTAGAATTTAACATTTAATCTTGAAACATATGAGTTATATTTGATTATGTACTAAAGATGAAAAGCTCTTGGAGGTAAGCACAAGCATTAAGTGCACAGCTTTAACTTAATTGTAGTCTGGGAATTAAATTTCTTGCTGTTTAAACTCATTATAAGAATTGTCAGATTGTTCACATATGCATAACAACCTTTCTCTTGTTGGCAACTTATCACCAGTCTACTGGTCAAACAAAAAAAGCTTCAGTTTTTTTCTGACAATGCGTCATTCTGTTAAACTATCACGTCTCCTAACACTCGCCAAGACCTATACTGCAGCACAAGAAGCGCTACAGGACCGTTCGTGAGTTGCTGTGTGACGCTTTGGTCCATCAGTGATTTGGCTTTTGGTGCAGCGCGTGCTAATATTGTGTGACGTCAGCAGCACAGCAGCAGACATCTCTGTAGTCGCCAATAAAGGCTATCGCCGATCTAAGCTTGATGGAAAACTGCATCGCGAGCCGGGAAACATCGAACCATGGCTCCACATCTCAAGACAGATACAGATAACAGCATTTTTATCATATCACGCCAGTCTGTTTATCGCAAATATCCCCCCTTCGCAAGGAGAAACGATACATGGATATATTATATCCAACAAAACTGTTCAGAGCGTTTGTGCATTGTAACCCATTCGATTATTTATGTGCATATATCGTCTTTTTAGTGATTTCTTATTATCTAAATATTTTAAATGTACGTGTTCAATACTCGGTGTAATATTTAAGAGACGCAAAAAAATTCAAAACACTATTAATATCATCCCCTCCCCCCTAAAACTCCTGCAGCTGGGTCGTGTAATTATAAGAACTTGTGAGCGTGAGTAAAAAAAAAAGTACAATAATGTATCACACACGCTATATCCACTGTCGACAAGGCTTTCGACAATAGCACATCAGGTCTCTTCATGCCGGCTGGGGTACGACAGATATAGTGGTGGTTCAGACGTAATTTTCTTATCAGATTGCTGGAACAGCAACTAAATACGGTGTGAATTACATTTCTCGGCTACTAGCTATAATAAACGTATATTAAGCAGAAGTGGCTTAACACAGAAAACATTCATAACTTTAAATGAGTCTTTATCAAGATAGTATTTTCAATTTTCAAAACCATCATTAACCAGATTGACCCCTAGTTCACACACCCCTCCAAATAAAGCTCAAGTCTATTGATATGCTTTTTATCAGCAAATGATGAAAAAGTATCAACATACTAAACTTGTAGTTACCTCTTATGAACAGAATAATTGCAGAGATAGATATTGTTTTTAGTAATCAAAAGCTTAGACTAAATACCATTACCAGTTATGAGGGTAATATGATATTCAAAAGCTACACTAGATTTAGTACTGTTACCATGATTAAGAGATTTAAGTTCAATACTCGTAACAACATTCAAAAGCTCATGATGTTAGGAAAACACGTAGGTTCAATTTAACACAAAAAATACGATACCTTATAACCCGAGCTTTTTCCAAAGATGGAACTTTCTTCTTCAGGGGCAATGATTGTTCTTGAAGAAGACAGGTCCACCTGTCGAAATTGCTCGGGTTATAGGGTATCGTATTTTTGTGTAACATTCAAAAGCTAATACTTAACACTACAACTAATATTCAAAATATTAGACTTAAAAATCGTAACAGAATTCAAAAGTCCAGACTCACTATTGTTAGCGTGTTCTTACTTTTGACTGAATATTGTTATCAATAATGATGTGTCTTTCAGTGGAAAAAATATATTAAAGAAACACCTATTTCTTTCTTATACATATACAGTTTACCTACCTTCGCTGTCATGGTATGTGACTGCTTATGAAATTATATATATATATCATCAGAAACTTCTTTACATATGTTTGATTATTCAGAAATCTAAACGAGATTTGTGGAATAACTAGAGTAGTAATTTCTTCTTTAATCTTACAAACCGCAATGAAGACGATATTACAAATGCTATGAATATATTTCCTATGATTTGGATTAACCCTTTTAACTTAGTTTTCAAAATCCTTTTATATTGCACCATGTTAATGACTAATATTTTAGCATAAAGGAATTGTTACGACAGCGGAGGTCACGTGACTCTAGTAACACGT